AGACAGAGCACACCTTTCTTCTTTATTTCCAGAAGGAACCACACTCTGGCTTCTAATTTGTTTGGCACTGTTGCTATATTGTTACTCCCTTTCTTTCCCTTAGGAAATCCATGGGGTTTCCTTGATGTAACCTTCTGTGCTTTGTGTTTACACATTTCCTTTTCTGTTTGTTTCTTACCATTGACCTTACAGCTCTCCATTTCCCAGGTGTCCCCTCACTGGGACAAAGGAGGTACTGCCTCTCCTTCAGCACCAGAGAGAGTACTGGGATCCTACCTGGAGATCTGCAAGGACATCCCTCCAAAAGGTCCCGTCATCTCCTCTGCTACAGACAAAAGCAGCAAACTTCAGAAAAGACAGCAGGTACTGACATGAAGAAACTCCTCATGCTTTGTATGCTCTTTTCAATGTATGTGTCAGCTCCTCAGGAATGCTTGCCAGGGGATACATTGGCTAGCTAGGGTTATCAGAATATAAATGGGTTGTTTTTGGTGGGAAGGGAGAGGAATCTCATAAGGGAGAATAACAGCTTATACAAATTTAGATTTCCAAGTAATTCTCCCTACTCCATTTCCATGAAGCAAGGTAAGCCTTAAAACAGCTCCTCTTCCCTATAAAACAGTCTCATGTCCCTCAGTTCATAGACACTGACTGTACTTCAGATGTGGTAGATGTTGTATGTTTCAAGGCTTTTGATGTGGTTCAGATACAATGGCTTCCCTTAAGCTATGGAGCACAAAGCTGTGTTGCCACACTAATACAGCAGTCACTGAATATTTATGAATTAAGAGCAATACATCTGCAGTATTTGTGGGAGTGTTTCTAACAGAAATATGGGGTTTCCCCATAGAACTGATAATTTCCTGAAAACGTTTAATCAACCCATTTAAAATAGAATCTTAATTAGCCTAAAGCTGTAAGTGGGATACAAACTTGCAAGGTTCTGCCATTATTTTAAATTCCTGGCATTGTCTTTTTAGCTTATTTGTTTGTAACAGTTCTTGGCACAATAATCTGTTGAAATAGGAAAAATAGTATGACCATCAAGGCTCCCAAGTCTGAACATCAAACCCATTCCCCTCTTCCAAATTTGAGTGTCACATTAATATGTCATTAAGTTTTATATAGAAGACTTTCTGATTATAAGCAGTGTTCAGTTTTTACCTAATTAAAGTTTAAGCACAAGCATCTCCTAGTGCATGCAAAGCAGATTCAACACTGTGGAGAGCTTGAGGGGAGGCTTGCTATGGACTCAGTGCCTAAAGGTGTCTGTGAATAATGCACAACTAAGAGGTTAGTCAAGATTAAGATCTCTGCAGAGGTAGTTCTGACTAACAGCGTATGTACCTGCTTTGTAAGAATACTTCTGCAAAGCTCATGTAACTGGGGTGGGGAAAGTCTATTACAGCTTCTACTTGCCTGAAAGTTAAAATATTCTCTTATACCCTCTGCAGGCTGCAGAGATCTTTTTTCCCTTTTTGGTGTATAAAGGAAGTCATCTTGCATGCTCCTGTCTTGTTATATGCTCACTTAAATTTTGGAGTACATCGCTGTGGGAATGCAAACCATTATACCCATTAACCATACTTATTCCTTTACTTTTGCTGTGTAAATGCAGTTGACATGCTTTTGGGCATGCTCTGGATTTCACTCACCTCAGACAACTTATTAAACAAAACACAACTTCCTTGTAAACCCCATTCTTCTAATCACTTTAATGCATTAGTAGATTATTAGTACTGATTTACATAGTTTGACTTTAGAAATTAGCTTTTCTTGGAGTGCAATTATTTAAACTAGTGAAGGAGTACAATTATTATTCCTAGGAAAAACAAATTTATATAAAAAGCTTATACAAAAACATCTTAGCAGAAAGCAAAACCTAAATTTTATGTATTATAACTTCATAATCATCATAACTTTGGTGCATAAAGTCAACATTTCAGCATTAGGGAAAAATTGAAATGAGTTTAGTAATAATTACCCAAAGCACACAATATATCTTTATGTAAATCCTCATCTGGCATCTTAAAAAAATATTGGCAAAGAAATAATGTAAAATTCAGTGCTGACTTTACAAAATGTCTTATTAATTTGCTTTAGTGATACTGGACTTCTTCCACAGTTGGCCCAGGTGAGAGATTCCAATATACTGGAAGCACAGCAATGCTCACACAGCTGTGTCACAGCAGGTTGTGCTGGAGGCTGAGTCTGTTGGGATTTGGCTTACGGACATGTGGGATGCCAGGGAGAGGAAACTGAGGCACAGCTGGGTGACAGATTGCACTGTAAGAAATAATGCCTGTTATTCAATAGACTGGTCATGCTAGTTTAGAATCAGATCAAACACTGTATTTGTTGAATGTATGAGAGAATCAAAACCACAGTGTACCCCTTCAGATCCACCAGCTGGATCTGAACTCCATTCTCCTTCTCCCCCCCGGCATAAGAAAAGTGTGATGATCTATGGGTAGGCTTGAGCACCACAGCTAAGAGTCTTGCACTGGTGTTGGAGGCTTGACTCTTTGGAGAGTCAGAATACTAGCAATAGAAATATAGCTTTTTGAATGTTTTAGCTGCGTTTTTTTGGTAATATTAATAAAACAAAAAGTCTCATTAAAAAAACAGTAGTCTGTCTTCAGACAGACTTGAGGTCCAGTCCTCCTACGTGGTATCCACAGTATTGTTGTGTACACCACCATATGCATTTCATCACTTTTTAAAGAATATTGGAGTCTTAGAAGGAAAAAAATAAAAAAAAATAGAGACTTCATTGTGTTGGTTTGTACTGAAAGCATGGACGTCAGGCATGCAGTTAAGTTTCTCAGAGGATTTCAGAACTTCACCTTAAATGCATGTTTCCCAGTGCATAAATGAACATTTCAAACTCTTAATACAGTCTGAACCAATCCAAAGACAGAAAAGAGCCAGAAAGCTCTGGAGAAGCCATGCTTTGCAGAAGAGGAGAACCTCAGAGTTCGGTGTGGATAATTCACAAGCAGAACTGATTGACTGTGCTGGATAAATTGTATTCTGTGAATTCTCCCACATAACAATTGTCTAAAAGTGACAAAGATTGCCCATTCTGATCCCAGGGGTAATTCCCCCTCCCCCCTTGAATGATTCACCTCACTTCAGCATCTGCAATTTATAAGCACCTCTGCTATTACCAAGTTTTTCGTACTAGCTATCTCCAGCTTCAGAGCTTTTAAGACTCACTGCTTTTTTACCCATTTCAGCTCTGCTCAGGGCAACAGCTCTGTTAGGAAACCCCGTGCAGGAGTTAAGCTGCATCTTGAAGGAGGAGTGATAATTTTTCATTTTCAGGTCATGCTGTAAGACTATTTTTTTTGGGGTCTTATGAGAACTGAACAAGTGCTTTGGAGGATAAGCAGCAGCAGAGGTGGTACCTCCTGCTTTGCAGTGTGGGCATTGTAATTGTGTGAGTTCCTACTCACACTGGGTAGCTGGCTCCAGAAATGAGACATGGCAACACGCTTCTCAGAAAGAGCAACTGAATTCTCCTTTATGTGGGAGAAGAGTGTCAGGAAAACCTCACTGAAGACTGTCCATTTTCAGTGCCACAAAGTAATGCTGTAACAGTGTAAAATGGCCTTCCCCCCGCTTGGAAAAGTTGGAGAGGCAAACTGGTTTAATGTAGCTTAGCTAACAAGGCCTTTAAGAATTACGTTTGTGTTCAGGAATAAGTTGCATCATTTTGTTACTGTGAACAAATACTACTTAATCCCTTTAATAATGCAAAATTACAAATACTACCGATATCTAAAAGGGTAAACTTTAATTTTGAAACTTTCAGGTCCTAAACTCATCTGAAGGAAAGGAAACTGGAGAAGAAAATCTAACTGACTTCTGAAGCTGTTCAGCACAGGCTGTTCTTGCAGAGATCAATGAACTGAAGAAATCTGGCGCCTAAGAAAACCAAGGGTCAGAAAGCTTGTTAAAGGACAAGATTTGCAGGTACATTAACAGAATGCAGGCATCCTTGTTCTGGGCCTTAAGCTTTTAATGGCAACCACCCTTCTATGCATAAGAAAGGCTGCACGACTCCTTCATTTTCAGAGGAATGAGCAAAAAAAAACCCAAACTTACCAGGTGATGACTTCACTGTACCCTATTCTCAGAATGAATGCAAAATAATTCATGAAATCTGCAACCTCTGATGCTTATCTAGGTTCAGTTACTGGTAAGTTTGTTCTCAGTACAGATGCTGAAACCTAAACTGATTAAAAAGCCCCACAAAAACCAACCACTAACACCCCCCAACCCCAAGGAATGCTGTAAACCAGATTTATCTACTTTTATCTCCTTGCAGCAAGTCTAATGATCAAGTTTTACTGAAAGGTAAACCTACAGTTTTACAACTGCTATGAGATATCCATGAAAGCACACAGGTAGTAAATAGTAATTAACACACACCACCCCCCCGCCCCCAGCTATTAAGGAGCTCATCAGATGCCCAAACCCAAGAAACTCATAATCATTAACACAACCCTCAGAAAATTCTGCTCTTTGTGGAGACAGTATCATCACCTGTAAGTTTGCCAGCACTTAAACGGTCATTGGTCTCTTGGTTAATCAACATTTCTGGACAGATCTATGCCTTTAACTTTGTTTTGATATTCAAGATGTTTGATACCACTATGTGATCAGTGTGTAGGGATACACTCTAATACAGCTTTTAGTTGTATAAACTCTATTAGGTGTGATAATGGGAACTCTCTTCAGCTACATCCACAAGTCAGCTAAGTGTCTGACTGCTGGCAAGTCTGCCTTGCAGTAATGAGTAAGTTGACTAGAACTGACAAAAAAGTCAGTATAAACTAGGATGTAGGATGATTATGGTTTATCTTGTGAAATCAGACCTATGAGCTGCACTTCCATTCTATTGTAATACAAATGCACTCTGATGGAAAGTACTTCCACAAGAATCAGTTTCCATGACAAATAATGTCTATGTATGTGTGTTCATATACATGCTCTTACCTCTGTTGATTAGGCATCTGCTCCTTGTCTGTTGAGTTCCTAGTTGGAGACTGAAAAGAAATAGATGCAATTAATAGTCATGTATGTCAATGATAAATTAAGCCAGTACAGAATGTTTTTCAAAGTTGAATAATTCACAAAATACAGACTTATGATGAGTCCCTTTTTATGTGTTTTACTTCAAATGTGACTACAACACGCATCCCTGGGAGCAGGGGAACAAGAGACATCCACAAAAATAGGCAGGTGTTGTGTGGGAGAATGACAGGAGGTGGATTTTGTACAAACCTTCCTTCTAACAGCATAGCTGGTCTCTATTGGTGGCAGTTAGGAGAGGCTGAGGGGTATGTGGATATTCAGTTGTCTTGGTGAACTCCTCAGTCAACAGTTTGACTGTGGGCTTGTCTCGTGAAGACCTGATTTGGTAACAAATGGGGAGGAAACTGCTTTTTGTTATTTTTCTTGATTTTAAATTTGAGCATCATGTGAAGCTACAAAATACTTAAAAATCTGGAAATAAACCAGGCTAAAGATGTAGCTTCACAAGTCATGTGGCCACTACTGTAAACTACCAACAAATGAGTATTTTCAAGACTGTAAGTCCTGACTGAAATGCAAACTTCTGAAGTCATGAAGGAAAAAATATTTTTTCTATGACTTCTTCACTCTCCACGCATACAAAAGCTTGCTCATGCTTCAGCATTTCAAGTTATTTCAACTTTGCTAACTGGGTTGAGTTAAAGAAGCTTGAGTTCCCATGGACCCAAATGTCAAAATTAGGGTCTGTTTTTGTTCATCTTCCTAATGACCCATCAGACACAACAGATATTGGTTAATGTCAAAATTAAGTGCTGGTTTTCCAGTTTTCAGCAAACTCTATTTAGACACTACCTGCAAGCTGGAGTGGCATCAACTGATGAATAAGCAATCTGTTAGCAGCTTGGACTAAAAACAAGGTGCTGATGAGGTCTGAGGAATGAAGCCAAACATTTAGCATAGCGAATGTAATCAATAATCTGCCAGTTTGTGAAAAGTGCATAGTGCTTTTCTGAGTGGTTTTTGGATGAAGCTGAGGAAGAGATTTGGTCTTTCGCAGCTGCTTGAGCAAACAATTAAACCAGAGCTGCTTTATTGTCATAGGCATCTACAAACCTGGAAATCGATATCTGGAAGAAGAAAGACTGTGGAGTACACCTTTACTGCAGTGGATGACCTGGCTGTACAGTGCCTCATAGGAGTGGGTGTGCAGCAAGAGACAGTGAAGTTGTTCTTCTTGGATGTGACGTGTAAGTCCTACTGATGATAACAGCTACAAAATAAATGGTTTCAGTTGAGTTCCACGTGGAAAAAGCTTTTGACCTTTCCATGTCAGGCCACCTACCTCATCAGTCTTGCTAAGGCCCCCCAAGGCTGGAACAGATGCGAAGACCAAATTGCTTATTTGCCCTATGCGTATATTTGTCATGGGGGACCACTAAGCATCTGACATGTTTCCCAACACCTACCTTCATCTAAAACTATTATGTAAGTTGGCACTGAAATAATAATAATTAAAACCTCAATCTTAACATTTGCTTAATGCAGTACTGGTTTTCTGAAGTCCATTTGAGTTCTGGTTTGTCTTCTGTGGCCTCTACTTTGCTCATTACCCAGCAATGAAAAAGTGACACCTGCTACTCAGTTCCTGCTGCAATGCTGAGTGGACAAGAGAGTATATCAGTCATGCCTGGTTTTGATGAGGAATCTTACACTATACTAGTTGTATCCCTAAAGACCAAGTTCATGGTTCTACAGTGATTAGCTCTGAGGGGAAAACTAACTGCAAGCAATTCAAACAGTCTTATGTAGGTTCTGCAATCTTGTGCTTATTTTTAGATGCTGGATGACTAAATCTGTGGGATGTGGCACATAAGGTGCCATAATGTAACTGCAATAGAAAGCAGATTTTGAAATCTCATCTTCAGAAACAGCTAAATGAGTTTCACGTAGGTAATTCAAGTGTCCAAAGATGTAGATAGGCATCATGTAGGTTTTTAAAAAATTTCTATGAGCTACAATGTATGTACATGGAATGTTGCATTGTCTTTTAAGACTTTAAAGGAAATATGTCTAGTCATCCTTATATAAATGTTGTCTCAAGCTGCTGGCATTTGTTCTGTTAGTGGGCATGCACAAAACCAAAAGACTCTCAGGCTTTATCTTCTCTTTAAGGGTATAGGCAAGGAATCAAGTTACCACAGAGTAAGCTGAGGTCTAACCATATTTGTATGCTCATTTTTGGTGGTGGTTGTTCTGTTGGCTAACATCTTACTTCCCTTCTTGGAAAAAAAGAAAGATATTATCGGTGTCTATGGGCAAGACCGTATCTATATTATATAGTAATAAGAGAAATCATTGTCTGTGCCTGCACTTTCTGCAAATGAACATTCTATATGCTTAGTCCTTATTTAGTTGTTCTTAAAATAGGTGTTTACAGATATTTCACTCTAAGAGTGACAGAACTTTTTGCTTTGCAGTTGACTGGCTTTTTGAGGGTGTTATTCAGCCCTAGATTAAACTGTTGCAAAATCAGATATAAACTTCAAGATAGGATCAAATGGTATAATGGAACACTGAACTGAGTGCTGCTCTCATTAATAACTTTCATTACAGTGGAAGCAAGATCAAACTTAATCAAGAAACTAAAAATTATGTTCCAACCTAATTTATCGGAGAAGTTTTCTTTTCTCATTAAAATAGAATCAAATTCCTTTTCTATTCGGCTTCTGATGTGATCTCTTTAAATCTTCAATCAATGAAAAAGACTATCTAAATCCTGATTGCAAATATGGGATGGGGAGAGGGAGGCCCATGTTTTTAAAAATACACAGACAGTCTGTATACAGATGTGAAAACCAGAATTCATTAACCAAACCTGAGGACTGCTAACATTCATACATACTGCCTTATTAAATGACTCTCTAAAATGAATGCTCTCTGGTCTGCTTTCCTTAGGAACTATGAAAGAGAAAAGAACGTAACTGTCATTTTTGTTTCTGGCACTTAGGCTGGACTTAGGTACTGGTCTTCTGAGATCCTTCTTTACTCTTCCCAATGCTATGCTGTTGAGAGAGGTTCCATCTTTTGGAAGTTCTTATTTTCAAGAATTTAAATCTTTGATAAGTAAGTGCTCTGTCAGACAAGACAGAGGCCTGCATAATGATTCTTCCCATTGTATTTCTGCAGTGCACAGCTGCTGATTTATATGCATCAGAAGATATAAGACAGTGCAGCAGAGGGCAGAGAGGTTAGGAACATCATGATCATTATCTGAGTTACTGGATAACTTCACAAAATCTACAGTTCTGGTGTTGATACTACATTTGTGCTGGTATGATTCAGTAACTAAACTCTTGAGAAGAGGACAGCTGCAGAGGCAGGACCCATGTGGCCTTAAAAGAAAACCCTACAGACAAATACTTTCTGAGCATCACCCTCATGTCATCATTAGCTTTGCCTCAGCTATAAAATACAGGTTGGAACAAATGCAGTGAACCTGGGCCCTCAGGCTCTGAGTGCCTTGTGAAAGCTTCTGGAGTAAGCCTGCTCAGGATGCTGTACCCCTACTGAACACAGAGGACATTAAAGCTGAAATGCAAAGTCTGGACTGGAACTCTGCCACTGGGCCAGCAAGATAATTTCAGTATCTCACAAATCCACATAAACACAACACTAACAAAATAATGGAAGCAGTACTGTGGATTATTTTTCTGGCTTGCAGTAAGGAAATAACGCATTTAGGTGAAAATTTTAAAAAGTGATATACAAATGATACTAAGTCCAATATGAAAAAGAAATACTAAATTTCCCTTCCAAGAACATATATGTACTGAAGTTTATAAAAATGATAGGCATAAAGTCAATACCATCCAATACAATCTCTTCATAACAACAAGAGAAAATGATTTGCAGGAAACACTGGTGATTTATACTGTTGCAGGTGACATTCAATCACAAAGGGAAAAAAGCATAATAAATGACCAGTGATACAGATTTAGTAATGACTCACGATACTGAACTGCTGTAACAGTGGAAAGTTCATCAAGAATTTGCAAGTGCAAATTGATAGCTGATTTACAAATAAAATATTGAAGTAATCAAGTAAATAGTTCTAAAGAAATCATCTACCCTAATTGTGCTAAGCAGCAGGAAATGGGCTACAGAAAAGCTGAGCCACAAAAACTTGGTAAATTTTCTGCCCCAATAACTCCCAGAGAGCTCATCTTTGGGATGGAATCTTGACCATGCTGAAAGGTCTGATTACACTAAAATATGATGCAGAAAATGCTCATTACAAATTCAGTGCCTGATCCAAAAGCCTGCTCATGCTTTGGATCAGTCCTTTACAACTCTTCAGCATTCCAAAAGGCAGAGAAAGTGCAACTCACCATTCAGATTTTCCTTTTCTAGTCTGTTTCCAACACTGCTGTCTCTAAGGTGGTGTGCTTTTTCCTTTAAGTAGAAAACAAGCATAAACCCAGCAGCAGAAATCACGAACGGAAGTTCAGTGTAGAAATAATGAGTAACTACACAAAGCTAGATGCTTTAGCATTCTGAATATCAAGCTTCTCTCTCCAGGAAAACAATTTTAAAAGACTGAAAAATGTCTATGATGCACTACGAGTAGATGCTAATTTTAGCATTTATACCTACGAGTCTTGTGGAGCTTTTTCCCCATCAGTAGAATCACAGAATGGTTTGGGTTGGAAAGGACCTTAAGACCATCTAGTTCCAACCCCCCTGCCATGAGCAGGGACACCTCCCACTAAACCATGTCACCCAAGGCTCAGTCCAACCTGGCCTTGAACACCGCCAGGGATGGAGCATTCACAACTTCCTTGGGCAACCCATTCCAGTGCCTCACCACCCTCACTGTAAAGAACTTCTTCCTTATATCTAAGCTAAACTTCCCCTGTTTAAGTTTAAACCCATTACCCCTTGTCCTACCACTACAGTCCCTAATGAAGAGCCCCTCTCCAGCATCCTTGTAGGCCCCCTTCAGATACTGAAAGGCTGCTATGAGGTCTCCACACAGCCTTCTCTTCTCCAGGCTGAACAGCCCCAACTTTCTCAGCCAGTAAGTTACATTGATTCTGGCATTACATTACAGAGGCTTGGAGTTTATGTTTTGCTTTGGCCAAGTGATTTTCCCTCAAAAATCCCAGTGAATACCAGACAACTACAGTGATAGCATGAAGTAAATTCATAATATTCATATTGAGGTAAGGCAAAGACTTTCCTCTGGTGCTAACCCAAAGAAGTCACACATGCAGCATGGGGTATCAACCACCACTGAAAAGTAGCTTTTGCCCTGAAGCACTGAAAACAGGCCAAGTAAATCCTTCTTGAAATACAGGCATCTTCTAGCTAACCAAGAAAAAAAGAGACTTACGACCTAGTGCTGCTATCTTTGCACAGATAAGATACCATCTTCCTTCACAAGTAATTCCCCTGACTGACAGAGCAGTATCAGCAATTCCCATCTGGTGTGCAGGCCACAGACGTATTTGGAAGGAGTACACACCACACTGGCAGCACTGCCCAGTGGCTAGTGCTGTGTTGCTGGTGCCCTGCCTGTGAACCCGGCTCCCAAACTGTTCCAAAGCCCTTGAGCTTTTGCTGTTAAGTGTTCCACAGTGATGACAAAGCTCATACTATTTCTTCAGTAAAAGCAAACAAAAAGAGCATTTAATCTCTCCTTGTTGGCAGCATTTGATAGCTCTCCCACTCTGTTGAGTACCTTTGGTTTTCCTCTTTCTCCTAAATGCACTTACAGGACAACAGGAAAACACTTTTGTTAATGCACAACCTCATATAAAATGAGAGCATAACCTCTTCCTCTAGCTGTCTTGTTACAAGTAATTAGCAAACCTCCTCACTGTGCTTTTCTCTTTTGCTTGGAGCTTTGATGCAGTTCTTTCAGTGACTCAGTGTGTGGGCTTTTGTAAATCCTGTTTTTGTGCACCTCAGTTTCCTCCATACATTGAATATAAAGGAGCTGAAGAGGACTGCTAACAATTATGAGTTTCACTAGGTAGATTCAACACTTTCAGACAGACATAAAGCCTGATGTAAGTCCATATATATTAACGATGCATGCTTGATGTAGTTAGGTTTCTGTTAGCTGACGCTGTTCAATAGCTCAATTGCTTTGTTCAGCTACAGAAGGTTTGTGGTTTCATAAAAGATGCAAAGACCCAGCAGTTTAAAACAGAAGTCTCAGAAGACCGACATATTTAACTCAGGATTTTAACCAAATGCAACAACACCTGAACTCAGGCAAAATAAATTCAGGAAGCCTCTCAAGTAATCAAACAATGGAAACAGATATCTACAAGATTCAGAACCATAAGCAGCAAGTTCCTTGGGAGCTGATAGATATATAAATCATGACTTAGTTTTGACCTCGTATGTGGCAGCCAAAAGACAAAAGTTTGGTTTTGGAACTTCTGTTCAAGATTCCTGTCAAGAAACATAAATTTCAAACTCATACCTGTTGAGAGGACTGTAGTCTCTGTTTTTCCTTCTGCCACTGTTTAAATCTGTCAAGGGCTTCATCCACAGAAATTGTCCCCTTTTTCACCTGTTCCTGCAAGCGGATGAGTTCTTCCTGTTTGGTAGGGATGTTGTGCTTCACAGTTCTATCAGTTACTTTGTCAGTGTGACCTTTGTGTGCTACACAATGCAGAAAGATAAAGGTAGAAACTATTATTAGCGCATTTCGTTCCTTTCTCTTTATAATGCAAGCACTTTTTTCAAAGGCATGTAAGGAGTAATTTTATAATCTGACATCAATTAAAAACACACCATCTTTAGGGAGCCCCTTCCCCTTCTTTCTGCTTGGTGGTAGGGTTTTTTGGGGGGGTTTGGTGTTTTTTTTTTCCTCTTCCAATGAGAGAAATGCAACAAATCAATGAGGATTCTACCATTACTCTTTAGCAACAGAGTAGCATCTTAAACATTTTATTTATTACTACTGCCCTGATCCTTCGACTCAGCTGTAGTGCTGACATTTTAGAGGAAATTGTTGCTCTGTTAAGACAAAAAATATTCACAGTGCCTTTTTTCCCTTCCTTCTCTAACTTCACACATTGCATCTCTCAAAAGCTGGGGCTGAAATTTGGCCAGAAAGTGTTTTGAAATTTCACATGATTTCCCTCCCCCAAATCATTAAATACCTTGCAGTGACAAGAAAACACAACAATCTCATCCTCCTAGAGGTTATGACAGAGGTGCACAGCCAAAGGGAAATGGCAAGGAGACGTGTTACCACAGCTTGGTCCAGGGAGGTGCAGCACTGCATGTCTCCAGGATACTGATACTGAAATGACCGATCCAGAACAAGTGAGAAGCTGTGGCTCAGGGCTCTGCCACACCTGTATGAGGCTGGTGTAAAGGTGCCGTAAAGCACCTGTTTCACTGCACAGGGAATGCAGCCAGGATAAAAGTTTAAACTGTAAGTATGATCTGGGTCAATCTTTCTGCTGTGTCATGCACCAATATACACTTTAAGTGAGGAAGGACTGTGCAAAGGGAAATACACTGAAGAAGTGAAGAACCACCTACTGTGGCTTCTCTTCTCCCGCTCCTTCCTTTTGATCATACTAGCACATATTAGACATGAATCTCTACTCTTTTGCATCTCAGGTAATTGATTCTATTTTGATACACTAATGACCCTAATGCCTTGCATCTGATACAATTATTTGGCTATCAGACCAGTTTAGGTAAAACTGTGTATTTTCATAACAGCAAAAGGGGTGTGGGTGTATTTCCTCAGACCCATAAAAGCTACTCTCTTTTATCATGGAATGGCTTGGGTTGAGAGGGACCTTTAAAAGTCATCTAGAGTTTAAAGCCATCCCACCTTGTCCTATCACTACTTGCCCTTGTAAGAAGTCCCTTTCCAGATTTCTTGTAGTCCCTCTTTAGGTTCTGGAAGGCTGCTCTGATGTCTCCCTGAAGCCTTCTCTTCTCCAGGCTGAACAAGCCCAACTTTTATCATGTCTTCACAGGAAAAGTGCTCCAGCCCTCTGATCATCTTCATGGCCCTCCTCTGGGTGCACTCCACATCCTTCTTATGTTGTGGGCCCCAGAGGTGGACACAGTACTCCAGGTGGGGTCTTACCAGAGCAAAGGGCAGAATCATCTCTGTTGACCTGCTGGTCACTCTCCTTTTGATGCAGCCCAGGATACGGTTGGCTTTCTGGGCTGCAAGCACACACTGAAGCCAGCTCATGTCAAGCTTCTTATCAACCAACACCCCCAAGTCCTTCTCCACAGGGCTGCTCTCAGTACCTTCATCCCCCAGCCTGTGTTGATAGTGGGGTTGCCCTGACCTAGGTGCAGGACCTTGCACTTGGCCTTGTGGAACCTCATGAGGTTCACACGGGCCCACCTCTCAAGCTTTTCCAGGTGCCTCTGGATAGCTTCCTGTCCCTCAGGCATGTCAACCGCACCACACAGCTTGGTGTCACCTGCAAACTTGCTGAGGGTGCACTAAATCCCACTGTGTCATTGATGAAGATATTTAACAGTACTGCTCCCAGTACGGGCCCCCAAGGGACACCACCTGCCACTGATCTCCATCTGGACATCCATTGACCACTATTCCCTGGCTGTGACCACCCAGCCAATTCCTCATCCACCAAACAGCCCATCCATCAAATCCATATCTCTTCAATTTAGAGAGAAGGATGTTGTGTGGGAGCGTGTCAAAGGCCTTACAGAAATCCATATAGACAACATACACAGCTCCTCCCTTGCCCACTGGTGTAGTCACTCCATCATAGAAGGTCACTGTGCTGGTTTGCAGAGTTATGCTACCAATACTCTAACACAGTAAGATCTAGAAGGTCTTGTATTCTTTTCCTAAGCGGTTTAGCATTCATGAAAAGTAATGTCAGTAGCACTGGAGACTGCAGTTCCCAGCAGTAAAAATAAATAGGTGATTATGTGCTGCTCTATATGCTTTAATCCTGACCTGCTACTTGTTAACACAAGAGAGAGGAAAAATCTTCACTCGGTGTTCATTCATTTTGCACATACCATTATTAATTATTTTAGGGTATTAATGGAATTTAAGGTAGCAACATTTTGATGTGCTACAACTCAAATAACTGGACTGCCACATGTGATTGATTTTACATGGACCTTGGGGTACCCAGGAGAGAACCATTGCTCCCCATACTGCTGCCTTTCCCTGGCTGGAATTACTGCACAGCTGAGCCCTCCTGTCTGTCCTTTTCTTGGTTTTAATCACAATGGAGAAAAGAAACAGAAAGCATAAAGTAACTCTGATTACAAATCTTTCCCACAAGACTGTAACTTACGCTTTTCTTTCTTTAATCTGATCTCTTAATGCTGTGATACAATTAAGGATATAAATCCTTTGTGGGAAAAGAGATACTAGATCAGTCAAAATGAAGTCACAGCAAATCTCTACTAGTTCTACTGAAAAGCATCAAGGCAGTGAAAGAGCTAAATTAAATTCTGTACCGGGCTTCCTGGCATAGCAGTACGTTCTGTTGCTGTCACTGGGCACCCGAGTGGCCTTTTGCTGAAACACTGCAACAAAATTAACAATATTAGGAAACTGGTGAAAAACAGCAGTAAAAACCATCAGACATTCTGAACAAAGGAAGGAGGCTCAATGAAAGCAGGCTAGAACAAATTTTGTGATCTAGCCGAGGAGTACTTCTCAACCCACTTACCAGGCTAATGTTAATTACTTGAAAAAATTGTTCTGTTGCACAGAATGGCAGGATTACTGATATTACAGATAGCACAACAAGAAGCTTTGAAGAAAATAAAATAGACTTATCACATTAACATATTACTTGTTTAGCAAAACCAGCTAGATCTCGGCATTTTTCACATGGAACAAACACCAGCTGTAGCCTGTTCCTTATTTTATGGGGAAAGCTAAGGCAGGAAAAAACAATAGTACTATGAGAGAATAATGACACTGCTTAAGAAGGAGTGTATGTATATTTTTGTCTACTTTATTCGGGCACTGGGAACAGCAAAGCGTGATTGCTTATTCCATCAGCGTAGCCAATCATCCACCCCAGAGTCCTGGCTTCTTGCTCCTGCTGCCTGGGCAAACCCAGTGGACCCTGGTTTGCTCCGTGTCTGCCTGCTCGAGCTGCCTTGTACTACACATCTGCTTCTATCTGGGAAACTTGTAAAAGGGATGATCAAGACCTCTGTGACATCTAAACTCAGTGCATGCTACATGCAGAGGTGAGGAAGGAGCAATTCCTAAGTGTATACATCCTACACTGCGGAATAAAGTATTTACGCTAACTCCTGAGTAGGTTTGTATGGAAGGTGATGATGAATGAAAACAGCTGGGACTTGATGTTCCTAAAATGTTCTCAGGCTAAATGGTGAGAGTAAAAGAACTATACAGGCAGCACAATCTGCTGATGTTACGCCCTTATCTTCAACCCAACACTGATAGATTTCAACTTTTGTAACACTCCTTTTGGTAATTCTCAAAGAATCCTGCTAAATATGGTTGCAGTATTTTCTTCTATACTCAAAATAGTATCCTCTTTATGAAGAAGAAGATCAAGTAACCAGAACACAGAGGTAATGCAGGTGGCCTGAATTTTACTGCAGAAGGAGGAGAAGGGATATACTCAACAATGTCCCTGTGATTGGAAAGCACTTTAATTGATAGGCTTTGAAATTTCTGCTGAGTTTTGCAGTGCTGGAGTAATCAGAAATGGAATTACTCTCCCGGTTCAAAGTAAAATTGTTAAAACCACTTTACATGCCACATCTTGCTGAAATGATTTTAGCTGGCAGCAAGTATTCAGTGTGGGTGAGGTCAGTGAAAACAAATTCCTGTTTTCGGAATGCCTGGAAAGACATCTGCAGAAAGCACTGCATGACTGCTGCAGGTTTAGGGAAAACTCCAGCAATTTACTCTTTCATTCCCACATCCTAATTACTTATGAGCTACTTGAATACAGTAGTCAAATGAAAGAAACAGGTAAACTTGCACAGGGATATATTCCATTATTTCTTATGGAAGATAAAGTGAATGTTCCTTTAGTAAAGCAATATTAAGATAGCAATTTTTTCAAGTGTCAGAACGCCACAGTCCTTCAACTGATAAGCAAAATATTTGTATATTTTCAGAGCCTTTCTGCCATAGATAATCTGATTAAATTGTTGCAGTACTTCTGTTCTGCTTTTTTAGTTAATGTGTGCCCTTCAACAATATCTGTCTGATCAGAAAGAGTCCTTCTGAATTTCTAATCCCATTGTGACTGGCTAAAGTACCACAGATGCCTGTAATTCAAAATCCACAAATTAAATGTCCCAACCCGACCATATGTGGTATAATTTTTGTCTACGACATATCTCCTCAGTTTCTCAGAATTAAAGGAGGCTGAGAAAACTAACATGTAATTCCACTTCATTCCCTCTCCTTTCTTCAGTTGCTACAGACACAGATGAAGTTCACTGCATGCCCTAAATACATTTTTATGTATTAGGTAGTAAGATTGCTTTTTAGGAATAAAATGCAACCTCAAGATTTCTCCAGGAAAGCAAACTCTGAGAGTAAGAATTACTGTAGTATTTTCTAGTAGGACATGAAAACAGAAAACAACATCTAAAATGCATGACAAAACACAATTTTTGTGGCAAATATGCAGAACTCTGGGAAAATCTCTAACAGCAGGCTTGGAAAGCAAATGAGATCCAAGGAACTCTGAATTGCCTTCTTTATTTCAATCAGACTAGCTACAGATGTTGTTTGAGGCTGTCTGCACATGCAGGTAAATAAGGTTATGAGCGTAGAAATGTGGTTAATATGTTCATGGTTATGTCCACAAATAGAAGGGCTAGAAACATCTGAAAGTCTCTTGTGGATAATTCTCTACCAAGAAGAGCATTCTATAGTCACCCACTGCAAGAAACTGTGATGGGTATAAAAGGTCTAGAAAGAAAGACATTTTTTACAATAGCTGCAGGTTGACAAAAAGAACAGGAATTTGACTTTCCTAATGAATTGAGGTTCTAACACAAAACCTTAATGGTAAGGAACCTTAGATGCACTATGATATGTCAAAAATTTCTTAGTGGTAGGCCAGTAAGAAGAGATATAATTAGAAACAAAGGCAATGAAAACACTGAAAGATTTACATTATGGGAGAGGACAACTCATATCAGGAGGCAACGATCAACCACGATATGATTTCTAATTTACATTTTACTTTACCCATCTAAACTATGAGGGATGTTGCCTAATTTGCTGTATTAGCAACATTACCACTAAAAATCAAACCATAATTTGCCACTACACACTAGTGATTCAAATAAAGCCAGACCGACGGACTTACCCTCTGGAAGAATACGTGAGCTGATCATACCTAATACTTCCTTGTTTACTCAACACTTCCAGCAGAACAAACACAAAGGAGAAAAGACACAGCAAAACACCCCCAAACACCCCAAATCAGTAAATATCACTAATTTGAACTCCATTTGTGTTGGGAAATTCACTATGTATTTATTCATCAGCTTCATTGAGCTGATACTCCAAACAAAATTATCTATCACCATGACTGTTTTATTTAGGAAACAGTCAAAATTAAAATCCAGGGGAACAAAGTCTTTACAGGAACACAAGGCTAAGTGATAATGCAAATTAATTAATACACTGGGGTTGCACTTATTAACACATCTCAACTCAATTGCAAATTAAAGTGAGTTTGTAAGCTTCCTCCTTGTTCTTAGCAGGTTTCTGCTTCATTCACTTTAGAATTGTCACACAATTAACTCATGATTAATGGAAAAATGGAGGAGGAGGGGGGAACTGCTAGTTGGGATAAGTTGCAGGGAGAGACTCCTGTCTTTGCCAGCTCCATTTTTTTCCCCATTATTTAAACATTTTTAATATTTCAACTGTGTGTGCATAGTACCTAGGCAAATAAAACTTGCAAGTTCTTTTTTTGGCAGGGATTAGACTGTAAATTAGACGTAGCACAGCAAGGGATGACAAATACACAGAGAATACTAAGGAAGGAATATAGTAGAATGATGCTTATTATTCAGGAGATGAGAACTCTGCAGATGTTTATTCACATCTTTTTAGATCTTATTTTCTTTTTGTCCGTTTTGTTTGCTAACACACTGAGTATCACTCAGCATGAAGACTAAACAGAGGTCATCAATGCAATGCTAACCAGTAAGTTTTGTGCAAGATGATTAAGGACCACTCCTAAAATCTATACAGAGTATTTCACACTTTGAAGATTTAAGCCCCAGAAGCTGTCCTGTCATGGCAGCAGAGGTGTCTGAATGCACTTACACTGTCACAAGGCAAGAGGAAAAAGAACAGCCAGCTTTAACTGTACTAGTGTGAGAAAACCAGTGACCACTTCTAAACTGGTACAGAAGTACTCATCTGTTCTAAACATGCTGCCTAACACCCAAGACATAGATGAGAACACACAACAGGATTTTCATCAGAATGAAGACCAGGTGATGTCAAGAATGCACTTGCAGTAACACCAACCTGTGATGCTGCTGTTATTTGCAGTAGTTCAAAGCATGCTGCCTGAGTTTTTCAGCTGCAGCATCCTATCCACCTATCACAACTTATATGGGCTGTTGTCAGCCTCTACCTTCCACAGCCACATAATTAGTTGAGATTGAAAAACCTCATTTTCTCAGACCAAAAGTAAAATGTCTTTAAAAAGAATCACAATGTAATGACAATGTGAAAACATTAATCCAAAAATAAATGAGCAATTCTCTTCCCAATTTGCAGCATGATTCTGAGTCTGTCAAATATGAGCTCAAATCTGTTAGAATCCCAGTTGGGAAGGGATCACAGGACACAATTCCACTTCACTGAGACAAGATAATAAAATACCAGACCCTCTTCTGAGAGAAGGGGTAAATGAGTAAGAAGAACAGGTGCAGGTGTAAGATGCCATTCAGAAGGCAGTGTCGAGGTACTTGCTGTACTGTACACAATGGAGAGAACTTTCCCACTGTGGCTCTTGACAGAGATTTAATGTAGGGGATCATGGAAGCTGGAAGGACTCTAGTGATATATTCAAGACTATTTGCTCCAGCTTGTAAAAACTGAATACTTCTGCAGTCCTATTTTTCTTCAGTAAAGGAAAAAAAAAGGGCAAGACTATGTCTGGTTTTAACAGAAATACACTATTTAGAACAGCCTTTCGACAAGGCAGCAACCTATAAATATTTCCTCTCCATGCACCTTATTCAGTACATGTTTCAATCCACCGAAGTTAAGATAGCAAAAAATACGCTTGAACGAACATAGCAGATGAAGCCAGTAAATCACTTCCCAGACAGGTCTGTAAAAACAGTCTAAGTGCTCTGAGACAGCTGAACAGTGGTGCCTAGTATTTTATTCATGGAAAAATGCCCCTGTGTTGGGGATACGTAATGAAACTCATCTGCAGTGCAGTACTTTATACTCACTGTAGGAAAGGACTAAAACATCCCTCTGTGGGACATAAATGTTTTGCAGTCAGCATGGGCTCTGAGGCTTCACTTTGGAACCCCTGCTTTACAGCATTTAAACAATCTACCTATTAAGAATTACTAACTCAGGATGTGAGCACTGTATTTCCCAGTAATGAACCTGTAAGTTTCCAAGACACCAACAGTTCTGGTCAGGATGTTTTTTCATTTCATTTGGATTTACATTGTCTATTCTGTACAGGAGATATTGTGTCTCCCTAAAAATATCCACTGGCTGCTGCTTTTCCTGCATAACCTGTGATTTTGATGAGCAGTGAGAATGCTATTCTCTTCTGGGATAGCAACTGGGAAATGTGTTTTTCCACTTCTAACTTTTAACCCTGGCGTGAAGTCCCACAGACAGCTATCTTTAAATAGTAAAATGTTTCCAGTGCACAGAGGGGAAATACATTCTGTCATGCAAAGGAACAAAGACTGTAAGCATATAAAGTTTTATTTATGCTGTTGTAGGACAGGTGTCCTTGCTGCAGAGAACCCCTCCTTCTCCTACTGGTGGTCTCTGATAAGAGGTAAATGATTGAACTAGGACAGTAATGTAATCTTCAAGCCCTGAGGCAGTCCTGGTAGGTCAGACTTCAAAAACGGTAGGGAAGCATTACAGACACTCACGCACCTGCCCTAATAATACACAGAGGACTTTGTTTTCCAGCTCAATCAGCTCTGGTATCAATAGGGAACATTAAAATCACACTGTAAACTGAAAACACAACACCTTCATACATTTATTTAACAGTTGTTTTGGCAGCATGCTACTGAAAAACACACCAAAATAACCTACAAAGGAATACTAAGCACTTGAGGAATGGAAAGGAAGCACACTAAGAGTGCACACCATCTGGACAACAAAGCTATTTGGCACCAATTTGCAGCTCCATTGGTTGATGAACCTTTCACACCGAAGGCAGAATTCTTGCAGTGGTCTAAATTAAAGAACAAATGTACTCCCTGTTTGTTAACGCTGCAGTACGGTTAGCAGTGTTCAATACAGTAGTTAGGACGTTCATTAAAATTGAAAATAGAATAAATGAAACTAAGTAAAAGCAATCTGAACACTTACGTTTTAATTTTTTCAACTCACTCATGTTTCCCAGAATTTGTCAGCCAATTCAGCTCAGATGCTCAAACTGCAAATTCCGGTAGTTTAGTTACGACACCTTGTTTCATTGAGGATCTGCTGCCTAGGTTTTGAAGTACAGATCTTGCTCTGAAAGAGACTCTAAAAATGGGCTTGTGATATTCCATCTCTCTTTTCTCTGGATCGACAGTTCCACCAACCTATTCTTCAAAGCACCAAGGGGTAATCTACAAGGACCAGGCTTTCTGCCTAGTGTAACCTTAAGCCTGTATTTGAAGGCTACTTATCACAGAGGGCTATTTGCTCACCTTGTTGCTATTCTCATGGAACCACCACCACTTTTGCCTAAAGGAGAAGATACTCTTTTGTAACTTCATGAACTTCAATGTGTGGTGAAAGCCCTCATGAGGACTCAGTCACTTGGTTTGTCCTGATGAATACAAAGTATAAATTAAAAAGGAGACATCAGCATGCAATCCAAGAGGCAAAAAGCATTGCATAGCTTACACTTCTGTTTTGCCAATAAATGAGCCCAAAATTTTCTATCACCTCTGTGGGTACAGAAGGGTTAAAAAGAAATTCTCCTCTTGCACCTCTGCCTGCATTGTCACAAGAGGCCCTGCACTCCTTTTGTTCTGTGAACTCCCAGAGTACACAGGGATCCATCCATCTGTGGGTGGCTGTGCCTTAATGCAGCCCTCTGATGTGCATCACACTTTGTTCTCTAATCCCATTTTCCCCACAGAACTTGTGTTTTACTGAACACCAGAAGGGAATGGTTCTGAAGATAACCAGAACTGTGCAGTGAAAACAACCTGTTTCTTACAGAAATATCGTTTAGTATGTTTTAGAAGTTAAAAGGTATTCAGGAGAGAGAATACAGAGGAGGGAAGGGTGCCTCCGTTAAGTAACTAAATCTGCTCTGCAGGACAGGACTCCCCTCTCCAACCAAGCCCCAGTGTAACCCCAGACAAGTCATTTCAGCCAGCAATCAGGCTCGTGAATCCCTGATGCTAAGAGTGTTTGCTAGGCACACTAGTGATTTAATATGAACTTCTGAACACTCATAGTGACCACTGCAATCACTGGGATATCTGCTTTGAATATTCTATAATCACTGGGATCTCTGCTTTGAATATTCTATAAGGCTGTTAATCTCAAAAATGGCATCTCAGTTTTTTCATACTGGGCATCCAAAACCTCAGCGGATCCATGACAAATCAAAGGGTTTATTGCAGGAGGGTCTGAAAGAACACAGTCTTTCAGGCAGGCACAGATTATATTTTAAACAAAAATGGGAATGAAAAACACTGAAGAGTTTTGCATCTTATGCTCACCCACTTTAACAACTAGATGAAACAAAATAGCTGTGATACATAGCAGCACACGGCGGTATATTTAAGGACTGTATTGTAATGTTTGTGGCAGGGAGAAAGAAGTAAGCAGCAAAATTTCCTCAATTCTAACGTCTCTATTATTTCACTTGGCAACTTTTGCAATGCTCTTTATAATATATGAAAACAAAACCTGAAACTATCAATTTATTTAAGGGATGAAAAGTGTGTATACACTAGCCAGAGGAATTTTATTTTATGCTGATTAGACTAAATTATAAAGCGATGGCTACAAACATACAGAGATTTTAATGATGGACTGCAATGATGAAACAATCATTTTTTTATGATTATAAGCAATTTTCATATAATAAACAGGTAACTGGGATATTGCTGGACTGGATAAAGAATTTTTTAACCAGCGTGGAGAAGGACAAAACCTGCCAAACCAAGCTGCAAGAAAAAATAGCTGAAGGCGTATCACTTCTGTCTAAAATTTCACTATCTCAGGAATCCCTGCACAAAACACGGGAGTGAGAAACTCCAGACCTGGATCTAGCAGGATGGCCAGGCTGAAGATTTCTTGAAGTGCTTCCACCATACTTGTTGTATAAGTAAATGAACTTGGGCCAGAGGCTGATTCCACAGAACAACAGGAAACTGATTTGTCTGGTTTTCTACCACTACCTGCTTATAAAAGCAAAGCTAAAAACCGTGGAGGGGTGTGTGCATATATATATGGTATAAAAGAACCACAGACCCGCCAAAGCAGTTCCTCAGTCTCTTCCTTAGTGAACAGTTAGGGTAGACAAAGCAGAAAAACTCTAGTGCAATAAAAGACAGTAAAAGTAATCTCCCAAATAAAGCATCTTCACAGTAAGGGTTTTCAAGCTTTGCCTATGATGATAGAGGATGAAGATTTGAGACACGGTACTAGCAATCTCAGTAAAAGCAGCCATTTCAGGATTTCTGCAGGTGTAACAGGCCCCCTACACATTTGTTCTTGAATTACACTTTAACTACTGTAATGATTCATCCTTGTACCTCCCGAACATGCTGAAGAAAGAGCAACTAAATGATGAACCTGTTAGCCCACACATTCTGGCCCTCACCTGCAGTTACACAGCCTGGAGGAGGAAAGCTAGCTAAGAAGAATAAAATAAATCACTGACTGAAATAGGCATGAAAAAGGAGGTGCTCTTTTGTATTTGGTAGGATGATCTGGGTAATATTAATCCTGTTTTAGTGCAGAACACTCACTGGATGGAGTAGGCAACCTACTGTTACCCTTTCTCAGCCTGGTTTTCTACCATGTATTCTTACGCATATTCTTATACATCGGCAGGTTTTTGTAAAGGAGGCTGGCAATGCAGGCAATATGGATTGTGGGACTCGGAGATCTATCTCTGCAGCAGGTTCACAGAAATTCCTTTTGTTATTTTGAAATTTGGCTTCAGTCTGAACTGCACTACAAGATACCCGAGATCTCTTCCAGCTTTAGATTTCCATGTGTAAGCTCCAAAAGGTCCCATTTTTCACAGAAATGGTAAGAGGACATAACCCTTCCTCAGGGGCCATTTCTAGCACCTTGCATTAGAGAAAGGGTATTTGAAAGAGAAGTTCTCACATAGGCATTTCTCCCTACTGTTCTCATCAGGAAAAAAAAAAATATATATATATAGCTAAAATTTCTCTCTTAGAATTAAGAACATTTTGATAAAGAAACTAAAAGCAAAGGCAATTCAAATAGCACATTTTGTATCGCACTATTAAAACAGACACGCTCTCAGCTAGCCCAGTGATTCTTTTTTCATCATATTGTCACGATTTTTTAAAATTTAAACAAAAAAAAGTTATGCTGAGATGCAAATTGAAAATTAACATTAGTCTGAGAGGTTATCAGCTCATTTGGAAGGAGAGAAAAGGTTGACTGAATCAACTTATTTGTTGGTTTGAAATAACTGAACAAGTCTTTTAAATATTCATCAAATAGAAGAGACGAGTCTATATTCTATCAGCAAATATTTACAAAGCAGCAGCACTAACCTTGCATTATATAGGGAGTATCCTCCTCTCTGACTGGTGAATATACTGGACGAGGGGTAGGGGCTGGTGGCCTGTTCATGGTAAAAGACTTATGTTCCTTCCTTTTCTCCTCCTCCTCAGCCAGTACGAAATCATACACAGATTCATCCAGTGTCACAAAAGTGTACGGGTCTTCCCCCCTGCTGTCTTCCTTGCATGTATCTTCTCTGTAACATGCTGTTATAAGTCCATCACCATGTCCTCTTTCACTTCTGCCCTCCACAAAATTCCTCTCTGAAAAAAGAGAGGACTTGTGTTCCATACATACAGTACAGAAAGGAGATCAGGACTTAACTTATAGCTTTAGAGTTTCCTAAAGTAACTCAGAGAGCTAATTTCACCTCTAAAGTTATCTGATTTTCAGAGGCTTCTGATCATCTAAGTCAGTAAAAAGGATGTCCCAGAGGAATAGTTCCAACTTCAGAGCCTCCTCATGATTTCACATCAGATTATCAAAACCAGATGCTTAGCTATTAGGCCAAAATAAATGGGTTTATTTAAAAGAAATACTGAGTGCCCCAGCTGCTTCCACCAGAATCACACAAACGTGCTTTAATGGTGAAGCCAAGTAAGTGGTACCTGTGGCCCTCGGAATTTTGGAAAGTCAGGCTATTTGTTAGTTGTTGCAACAATGACTTAAGAATTGGAAGTTATTCTAGAAAATGCTGGGGTTTGTCTTTCCTACATCTTTAGTGTCTCACTTGGTTTTGAGGGTTTTACAAAGATGTAGTGTAGGACAAGGTGAAAAAAAAGAATATTAAAGAGCCCCATACAGCACAGGTGAAATTTATGACCTCTTATAATCTATACTAAGATTATCCCCCATCAGTAATTTCTCTGTCTCTCTGTACTTCCTACGTTTCATGTATTTCATAATATAACTACTCAGTACTTGCATTCCTTTAGCTTTTACATTTTACTGCATTAAAAGGAATCAATGAGTTTCCCAGTACTTGAGTTTGTTTTGATTTGTCTTTCAAACCCCACAAACTGTGGAGTTAGAAACTATAACTGAGGCTGGTGTTCCCATAAATGTTTATAACTTTCTTGTGCTGATTACCCATCTCTCCTGCAAAAACAGGAGCCTGGAATTCTTGTGCTGAATCCTTTTCCTCATGTTGTAATCTACTGCCCATGCATGCATATCTGCTAAACTAGGCAGTGGTCACTACTGGGGTTTTCAATCCTTTGGCTGCTATTTAAAGAATTGCATTATCTATTTATGAATCATAGAATCCCAGGTTGGAAGGAACCTCAAGGATCAATCTTTCTTGACAAAGTATGCCCTTGACTAGATGTCCCAGCACCCTGTCCTTCCCAATCTTAAATGTGCCCAATGTTGAGGAGTCCACCAATTACTTACTTTCCTGGGGAGATTATTACAGTTTCAGAGGAACCAGATGATCTTTGTAAGTGGGATATATTTATAAATGGGATGTGTTATTAATACGAACAATCAGCATGCATTATGGCTAAGTCATAAAAGTGTTTTAAAGCAGCAAGTTGGATTAATACACCTGCCATATTAAAAATGTTTTGTTTCCATGTCATTATGGAAGTCCTGTTCCTTTCTCTGCAGGATACTCCTTCTCTTAACTCTCACATGGGCACTGTCATGCCCCTGCCAAAACAGAGGCTTCAGGAAGAGGGAACTTGCCTTTTAGGTATTCCACAGCAACACCTAAAGCAAGTGGCTGATAAGACTACGTAGCAATGACACATTAGAGCTCCACTTTGAAAGCAGCCTCATCCTTATTTAGAGGAACTCTGATACCCCCTACCTCACTCCCCAATGATGAAAGCAAGGCTAATGCTTCAGAGAACTCCACAGCATGTTTTAAACAAACTATTCATGCAGCAGTGTTTTTAGACAAACTCTGCCTTACCAGCACAGCACACAGCACAGGACACTATGCAGCTGAGAAACTTTCTAAGCTGGTACCCACATACAGACAGCCAGCATTTGGCAGAAAGGGTCACATTACTACTTGATGGTAGAGCTACAAGAACTATTCCAAGACAGGCAATTTTATATCAGACCTACACTACCAAATCCTGTATGCCAAACCTGACCCTCATTTATGCGCACACATAGCTGCAGTTTCATGGGAAGCAAAACACGTCTTTAACATTAATTTTATTCTTTCTCTTAAAATCCACCTATGACATCCAGCTTTTTCTTTCACAGAAAAAACAGGACAAAACCCTACCTATAACAGGCTGTAAAGCTAGAAAGCTATTTCTATCTACTTATGTGAACTTGAATGACTTCAGTGTGCTTGGTGATGGTAATTTAAGACTCTCTTAGGCTGTGCCACATTTAAAACCAGAGTTAAGAGTAATAAGCAGTGGAGAAACTGAGAAGCAACTTGTGTGCACGCTTACCAGTAGTATCCAGGACAAATAAGAAAGGTTTATTTTCCCCTATGTGACTGTTTAAGACTGGTATTTAAGCTTGAATTCTTTTGCATACTTATTTTTCCCAATGAGAAAAAATTATAATCATCCCTTCTGAAAGAGAGGCAAATAGTATTTTGGGCTTCTCATCACTTGAATCAAACTACAACACAATTTTAGGCTTTTACTCTGGGGCAGAAGTACAAAAAGAAAAAAATGGGGAAAAAAAAAGGCAAAGCATTTCATTAAAGGTCACAATTTCTCCCTCTCTTTTCAATATACAGCTTTTTATTTATAACCACAACATTGGCTAAAATGTAATAAAGTACTGTTACTTCTCTCTGCACAGTCACTTTCTATTAAATCTACCTGTGAATTTCCAAGCTGTATTAAATGAAGGCAGTATTTAATATTTTAAAATGGTAAATACTTAACTTGACAAAAATACAAGCTCTTGTAAATCCAGTGCATCATGTATTCTTTGGCAGCCCTCTAAGATGGGCAGAGTGAGGAAAACCTAAAACCTGAACCAAGCGGCCCATACCACAGTATCAGCTGACATACATGGTCATGAATATCTTGGTGCAGCAAAGTTCATGTGCACACACTTGCTTAGCAGAACTAGGGCCATACAGCCTAGCCACTGCTATTGGAAGTGACCATACTTACTCTCTACAGCAGCACCTAGTCTGCATTTGCACATGTTTGTGCCTCGGTTATTTTCTTCCCAAGGTCATACCTTGTGATACATCACGCTGTCTTAGGATGCCAGGCAGGTTTCGAGGGGGAGGAGGGGGTGGCCTCTTCTGTAAAAAGCAGTCTCTTCTGTTCTCTTCAAGATCATCAGGTATGCTGGCATACAAATTGTCAGGACTGTTGTGAAAGCTGTATGAATCTTCCTCTTCTTGATCTTCATGTTCTGTCTCCTCTCTGCTGTCTTCTACATCATCTTTCTCTTCCTCAGCCACCTCAACTTCTTGTTGGCATCTTGATCCAATTCCATATTGGATTCCTGGGTTCTGTGTGGCTTTTAATGCTAAAAAATGCATTATTTCATTTAAAATTTGCCATCTGGAAACATTTCCTGTTTCAAGGATTCCACAGAAGCAACACAATTGCTAATAAAACTTTTATGAACTGATACAGTAGAAAGCTGTCAAATATATACTGTCAATGAACAGCTTTTTAAATATTTACCAAATTAACAGTGGAAGTTTTTATTGTATCTTGCTATTCTGATACACACCATCTTCATGCACACAGTGTTAAACTTCGCTAGAGCTGCTGTCAGCCTGAAATCACACACACTTAACTTGCTTCCATAATATGCTTGATTTTCAAAGCAGCACAGTGCCACACTTAATAAAACAAAGCTGTAGCTCACACAGCTGTGTAACTTGTTTTTATATAAGTGCTTATTTAAATCTCTCTAAAATTAAATCAACATTGCCCTGGGAGACATGGCTGTACTCCTGTGGAAATGGAGCTCTTTAGTGGCCCATGGACCAGAGAATAAGAATATAGTGTAAGAATGGGAAAACATACGTTTTAATCACTATATACAAAAGCATCCAGATTTGGATAGTCAACCTCAGTAACAGAGTGAAGTCCAACAGCAAACTTACAGTCAGTGCAAAGCAAGTAATACAAAACCTTTGATATAGGTTTCCATTCTGAGTTGTCTTTTGGTGATGCCTTTCCTTCACCACCGATTCAAATGGGAGGTTAGGGCATTTAGCTGGCTAACATGGTCAGCTGTTAAAATCTGCGGTGTTCCTCCCTGTGCCCACCCTGAGGTGTTCCCATACAAAGTGTGACAGAGGCAGTGAAAATGTATCAATCTAAAGCAACAAGTTAAACTTAGCAAATAAGAAATATCCTTTTTATATAGAATGTGAGACATTGTTAACAAGCCAATAAGATAGAAACAGGATAAAGTTTATAATCCATGATACTGTAAAACTTAGGCAAAATATATGCCATCAGTAAATGCAAACCAGCAATTTCATTTGCAGTCTTCAAGGGGAATTCGTATGACCACACAGATTATTAAGAAGCTTGTAATCATAGAATAGTTAGGGTTGGACAGGACCTTAAGATCATCTAGTTCCAACCCCCCTGCCATGAGCAGGGACACCACACACTAAACTATGTCGCCCAAGGCTCTGTCCAACCTGGCCTTGAACACCGCCAGGGTTGGAGCATTCACAACTTCCTTGGGCAACTTATTCCAGTGCCTCACCACCCTCACTGTGAAGAACTTCTTCCTTATATCTAATCTAAACGATCTATGCTTAGATGTATGAACATCATGTTGCAAAATGTGCCTCCACACAGGCGCTGGCTGTCCCTGTGGGCAGTGCCTCCCCTCTCTGAGAACTTGGAGAATTCAGCTCTTTTCTACACGCAGAGATCACAGATTTCCAGAATCCACTGGGGGGGGTGGTGGTGGTGGTGGTTGTACTGAGGTCTGACCGAGCAATAACTTTTGTTATCATGACTGAACCCCTCACCTGTCTTGTCCCTCCTCCTAGGACATCTGTCCTCCCTGGAAGCTGCAGCAACATGTGGAAATGGAAAGTACTAAAATAACATGCCCCCTCTGTTTGTCCATAATCCCACTCACTTAATACAGTGCATGCTTTGTTACTGATAAAACAACATGACTTACTCATGGCTGCTTGAGTTTCTGAGCCCAGCATAACCACGTAGGTGTCATCATCTTCTGCTTCCACCTTGCAACTGGTGAAATTGTCCACTGTATTAATCTAGAAAGAAAAACAAAGGAGAACATTTGTTTTGATCTCCCCATCTCCTATCTTTACACCCTGCTATTGACACAATACTCAGCATTCTACTAAGGGGAAAGTGACAACAGAAATATCATGCATTTGCAGCTATGTAGAGGGATATGTCCTATAGGCAAAAGGAATTTCATATACCTGGGTACATAGAAAGGACACAAGGTTCTGCCATGAAGCAATATCTAAGTTTGCACAGCAAGGATTGAAGCTAACTGATCTTTCCTTTTAGCACTGCACTGGACTGTCCAGACAGCTCACAACTCTGTTCCCAATTGTGAACCTCTTTTGTGGTGAGAAAGATCAGTAACAAAAAATCAGCAAGTCCATAGGACATTACTGAATAGCTCAAGGGTGCAAAGTGCACGAAATCTCTGCAGGACTCATTGCAAACAGTTCCTGTACCCTTGTGATTGGTACCAAAAGCTGTGTGTGAACTGAAAAAACAGAAATGGGACTGCAAAGCATGTTAGTGGTTCTACCTCAGTGCCCCAAAGTGGCAAAGCATTGGTTTTTGTTCCTCTAGAAAGCTGTTACATTCACACAGTGCTATTCTAAATTAGCCTGGTGAGGGTCAGAACACTTGGTTCTCTACAATGTTACCAAGTTATTTCTTCAAGCAGAAGAGGAACAAACTTCTCACCTGTAGCTGCTAAGAGCAAACTTGTAACATACATAGCTACAGACAGTTCTGTTGTCTTGAAATAGACATCAAACACTTGTCAACTGCTGATTTTCAGGAAGAATCGGCATTTCAAAAGGTGACCTTTTTTTCATGGAACTCAGTAGCCCCTTCATTCCCATGGAAGTGTAGTATTAAACACTCCTGCATAGGCACAATGGAGCCCTCAAGAATTGTTCAGGAATTTTGAATCAAAAAATGTCAGGTCTGGGAGTTTGAATATACCAACCCCAAGGCAGGCAGGGAAACACCGTATATCATCCAGTCTGCAAGATTAATTACAAACTGATTAGCGGAGAGTGAAGTCAAGAGGAAGAACTGAGACCCTTCTGCATGGCACAGAAACCAATTCCCATGAGCTCGTGCCATACTCGACGTCTGTTCCTAGTATCCTGCTGCCTCCTGGCACCCAGCACTGTCTGAGGGACAGTGTTCACAGCGTGTGAAAGGGGAAAACATTTGGAGAAATGGAGGGGGTTTCTGGGGAACTGAGAATGCCTTCTTCCCTGCTGCTCCTGTACACAGCCACCCCATGAATAGTAGTCTTCACAACAGTGCAGCCATCAGACCATGCATCAGATGCCTCCCTGGCCTGCTTTGCTTTGCTGCTTTAAGAATTCACCTGGATGTCTACATAGCTATACCTGCCTCCAACAGTAAAGTATTAATCTCTGTCTTCTGTGCCCATGTAATGTGCACATCAGTTGGAGAATCCTGTTTTGCTTGTACTTGCTCATCATTTACCCAGTTCCTCTGTACCACACAGACACAGGATACCTCTTAAAAGCCTTGAAGTTAGAGCTTTTCAGAATATTTATTTTCAAAAGATTTAGGCCTGCACATGCTAAATGTAACTGCACAGTTGGGGAGAAAAAAGGGTCTCATGAAAAGTTCTGTATTTCTCCTCTGAACAGAAGATATGTGCAGAAGAAATCAAGCAAGCAGAGATCTAGATGTATTAAGCTGTCCCCCTATTATGGTGGAGTACCACATCAGAGAAATTCTTTCAAAGTGCTCACTTTTATCTTTGCAAACACAAAGTATGTATGGATAGACAGTTGGTAGAATGATGTCAAAAGGGTAAGTGGAGGAAACAACCGTCACTTTCTGGTTTTCTTCCTTGGCAAAGATGTTTATCAACTGAAGGAAACCTGGTAAGTCACAGGAAAACAACAGAACAGATATGATTAATATGCATCTTTGAAGCTTCAGTGTTTCAGAAGATTGAAGATCAGCCTGCCATGTTAGCTTATAGTGGCTCCACTGATAATGCTGAACTTCCTAAGATTCCCTAGAATTCAGGATGCAATTCAGAAGTTCAGGCACTGACTACACTTCCTGAAAGTCTCCTAGACCTTGGAGACACAAAAAAGCTGAATAGATGGAAAGAGTCTTTAACTAAATATGTTTAGATTAGAAAAAGATTCTGTATAATGCATATATTATTGATAAAAACCTCTTCTGACACTGGGGATGGTGACACCATGCAGCTGAAAATGTGCAGTGTCTCCAAAGGCAGTGGAAAATGTCCTTATTTAAGAATGCAAAGCAACGTAGCTAAATCAGAATAATGCTGTTGCTGAGATGGCAAACCTTGCCATGATGCCCTGAATTAAAGCCCACTACTTTTAGTTTTAGAGTGACTTTTATATGGGCTGGGTCACATAATTTTAATGTAATAGCATAGGTAGCATGATGTTTCTGCAGCAGAATTTAGGACATGGTGTACAATATGCATGCAGACCCGAACTTTAAAGTCTTTTGAGTCTGTTTGGCTGAATATGGTTCTTCAATGTACTTGGAGATTTCTTATGGATGTCAAGCCACTTTCCAAAAGAAGAACCAGCTTTATTAGAAACCACTCTTACATATAAAGGTATAAAAAGCTGCTGCTGTCAGCACTGAACTGCTCACAACAGACTACTGAAAAGGGCTCCAAAGGTTTGAAAATCTAGTTTGTGAGTTAGCAATAAAATTTCCTTACCTCAAAATGCAACAGGAATATTGTAATGAATTGAATGTCCTCTGAGAGACTGACAATATTTCAAGTCCTAAGATTAAATGCCATCTCTCAACATCAAAAGGTAGATACTTAATTTTCTCTCAGAAATTTTAACTGTCTTTCAAAAAGGCCAAGGTTTTTAATAGCTTCAAAGCTGTCCCTTTTATACAAAGCCTGAACAACTTACCTCAGTTAT